CCGAAAAGCAAGGGGAAGGGATATTCACGCTCAAAAGCGTGTCCCCCCAAAATTTCCAAAACATCGATCCACTTGCTTGAGTATGCCATTTTTCTTCGTGTATTAAATAAAAAATTAAGCTCTTCTTTATGTGCCGTGAACAGAACCCTTTTGCAAAAACAGTTGTAGATTGATGGAGAATCGAACTACTCCCCTCCAATTCGGATGCGACGTACTACCCGCTACACTATCGGTCCTTGCGCCTCTGATTCTGTCTATGAGGGCTTCTACTGTGTATCTGCCTTTCAACACGTAACCTTTTCTTAGTTGCCTTCCACGGGGCAGTACACATCTTTTTCTCTCTTTTCTGTCCTTCTTTAGGCACTTTTGCCGCTGCCTTATCTTTACCGGATTTCTGCGAGTTTTCCACAAGGAAGAGTCAGCATTTCCTGGCTAAAATACACATTTTGGTAAGAACTAACGTCTTTCCCATACAGAGTGTAAAAATACCTGTCGAAAAACAGAGTTCAAATTACTTGGTAAAATCCTAAACTGCCTTGTACTACATATAGCAAAGCAAAAAATAAAATACAAAACGACTTAATTCATCAAATTTTTAGAGCAGCAATACTCCTCACTCAGTGCGCTGTTCCGGAATGAGAAAAATGAAGAATTGCAAAAGGTAAGTAATTTAATCACCTGTCATCTAATTACTAAATACAACACGGCTTTCGATGTCCCCTCTTTCCAGAGTTGCTCAAAAACAATTTGTTAGCAAATTTGACTAAATGACATAAACTGGTACAAATTTACCATCGGAAAAAAAAACAACAAACCATCGAGGGGATGCTTGTCCCTCCGGCATAGAAAGCCGCCGGGTTTGGCGCAGTGGAAAGTAGCGTTGCTGACTTATAATAAGTCAAAATATTGAAGAAAAGTTTAAAAAAAACGGTTATGTAAGATGGAAGGCTGAACTCGCGTACTTCATGCAGTGCACTTAAGGAAACCCGAAATAACCTCGGTAATGCGACTAGTAGATTATCTATTTATCGATTATTTCTGGGTAAAAATACCA